CGGAAGAACATTCCGGAATACCTACGTGTAGCTTCCCTATTAAACAAACGTTGAAGACCACTGTATGAGGATTGAATGACTATAATGATGATTTCGTTTTTGCTAAAAAATATAAATACCTCAGAATTTTATACCATATTTGACACTGTTTGGAATAGCATTTCTTTCGCTTGTCTTCTGTCTTCTCATTTGCTACCTAGAGGGTTCTAAAGTTGGAGTGCTCAAGTTATACGCGGTATATCAAGAATCTAAGTTCCACATATAGCAGGAGTGAACGAGGGGAGGATAAACATCCAGGAGTATGAAAAAATATCACAATGTATAAAGAGTGAAGTAAGGAAATGATATGTAAAATCCTGAAAAGAAATAGACCCATAGTTTACAAGCAGGTGTAGCTGTAAATAAATCCCCAAAATCAATAGCTCTATAAGTCTTCGACATTTGATGCTCTCGGCCACGCTTCCACATCGGATCACGAGTGGTTACGCTGTACTCTACCTCTCTTACAACCATTAGACAGCTTAGATCAGTCACTTCTCGATATATCTATAACCTATCAAATATATCCTCGCTCCTGACCTCTACTTTCACTGGGTTGGGACGTTTCAATTACAGATGTTGCTGGTTAAGGTGTTGTCAAACTCCAAATACTTGTGTTATTGTTAGGTACATTAAAGGGACGTTTTGATGTATGTATTGTAGTGGAACGACAATGATAACATATACATCTTACCTAACTCTGTATAAATTTATCGGTTTACAGAGTTAGTGAACAAAGGAATAACACAAATTGATTACAATTGTGTTTCTAGATGCAAATATTCCATACATCTGTTAGTGTGTGTGTTAAGAAATACGAATAGCGGGGAAATGTATCTTCAAAAATCGATACTTGCTGATGTAGTAAGTACTGCCTGAAGTTGAACAGTGTAGGTAAGGAAAATGAGATTTGATAAGATAATAAGTGTCCCGAAACTGGGAAGATGCGACCGTCACACCGATAAATAAAATCGAATAAAGACAGCTCTCTTCAAACTACAGACCTGCCAGCCTCAGCAATGTCGTAGTCAAAATACTGAAAAGAATAGTCACGAAGACCATGGTGACACTAGTAGATACCAACAATTTGTTAAACAGCGAAAACATGGTTTCAGGAAAGTTTTATATTGTACACCAGATTTTATGGAGAGAGAACAATGAGGAAAGGCTCTAGATATTGGAAAATCAGTAGATGTTGTCTACATAGACTTCAGCAAAACACTTGATAAGGTGTCAACAAATGGACTGCTCTTAAAGCTGGAAAATCTAGGCATTGTCGAACCTCTCCTAAAATGGCTTAAGTATTTTCTGGTAGGTTGTAGACACAAAGTAAGAGCAAATTCGAAGTGCTCCACCTGAAGACCAGTACTTAGCGGAGTACCGCAAGGTTCTGTCTTAGGTCATTTACTTTTTATAATCTATGTAAGTGAGCTCCCAAGTATGGTTGAGTCAGCAATGTTGTTATACGCTGACGATGTAAAAATCTTGTGGGAAATAGAGATGCAGATGCCTGCGCACAGCAGACAGACTTGAGTATCGTGATTAGCCGGTCTAAAGAGTGGCTAATGAGTTTCATCGCGACAGAGTGCACTTTGAGGATACAGAATAGGGGAAGTGCCTTGTACCTGTGGTCCGGTATCACAAGGATCTTCGTGTGACGGTGAGTCATGATACGAAGACCACGACTCACTGCCGGGAAGTTGCAGCTAAGGGGTGTAGAACCCTATGGGCTTTAAGACAGACATTCACATACTACCATGTTCAGTGCAATATATACGACCTAAGTGAGATTCAAACTTGAAAACCATTTTCGGGTTACATGTCCCTGTTTACAAATTATCCCTGATACCTTGGACATAGTACAGAGGGCAGCTATTCATGCAATTCCGGAACTCCGGGGTTTATCATGACAACAGCGGCTTGAAAAGCTAGACCGCTTTACTCTGTTCTGCCGCGGACTAAGAGGTGATCTGACTGTGATGTATTAAATAGTGAGAAATGATTTTGGACATAATATTTTTTTCTTCCTATCGGATCACGAAATATCAGGCTAATACAAAGGCCAAGAATGGACAATATACCCTTGGCGTATAGGTTTTCACACTGAGTCATCAATTCTTGGAACCAGTTACTCGAAGACGTGATATCGACCCCTTCAACCAGCTCATTCAAGAGAATACTAGACGTTCTCCGGAGCTTACTAGAAAAAACTGCTATAGACCATAGGCCTTCTGTCCTCAATACACAAATAGAAATCTGAAACATGTCCACGCTTAAGACTTACAAGAATAAAATGGACTCCAAAATGGATAAAAGAGATGCATGTATCGCAATTCTTAGTTTCTCATGAAGAAGATATAGTTACTAGGAAGTTTGAGATGACTCAAAAGTTACAATGCATCTGAACTAATAAAGTTTGTCCTAAAGCTAAAATAAAGCCACACGGGAATTATAATCAGGATATCACCATAAATTTCTTATCATTCTCAGTCTACCATATGCCGAGTATTTTTCTACTGCTGGTAAACTGAAATTTCGCAAGGCGCTAACTATACCACCCAGTAAGCAAATCAACAAACCTTAAACAGTTCACCAACCCTTACTCTCCGAATTATTTTGAAGGAGGTTCGGTAAATGAGGAGATCATGTTTGATAATAAACATAATATTGGTTCTTGTATAATGACGGAAAACACATCGTCTAATTATCCTAAACTCGTTTCAAACTTGGCCATACTTTCTTTCACACGGCTATGAACGCCCTCCGTTCGTTCACTGCCGTCCATTATGTCATCCTATTTACAGCAATGCTTATAGGTCAACAATGAATACTAGTAAGATCTCAGTTGAACATGGAGTTGTAGTAAAGCATCAGTTTGAAATGACGATACTTGCTATTGTGGTTCATCTCGTACTTTGTTTCCCATGTGTCTGTAGGTGAACCTTCATTTATGTGTTGAGATGAGGAGTTCCATTCATTGACGATTCTACTAGATAGGTAATAGATAGATAGGCAATAAACAGCTGGCAGGTAGTTTATTCCGGTCTGGTGAGCTTCTTCAAAGTGTCCTCGCAAGTGCCCTATTTTGAAAGATAAGGTAAATGAGGGCATTTCAAAAGCATATTGATGATGAAGTTATTTATAACCTGTGATTAAGTTACCTCAACTGCTTGTGCATGAAAAATAAAATTGATTTAGTTATCCCAGTCTCGTTATATGGCAGCTTTGCGACGCCGTAATTCAGCTTAGTTACAGGTCTTTGATATTTCTTAAAAAACAGTACAGTTTAGGACAAATGAATGACGGGTACAAAATAAGAAGGTTTTATCATGAACATTGCTGAGAACCCTACAACAAATATCTCAATATTATTCATAGTTTACGTATATTTAGCTTGATGATAACTATGAAAAATGACGCAATTTAAATCATTTATCGGCTACTGAAAAATTAATGGCCGTTCGTATTATTCCTGCAGAACATTATGAAGCTCTTAAGTACAGTTAATCGTTAACCCTGAGAAAATAAAGATTTCCATCGATATATTGCATTAAAAGAGACGAATTTCGAGTTTCATACTTTAAGTTATACAACGTATTAAATTTTTCACGTGCATAACCATCTATTTACAGAAAGGTTAGCTATAATTCCCAACAGTATGGACAGACTGAGTGTTCAAGGTACCTACGTCGGTTGTAAATGGCAAGAATAATCAGGTGCAACCGAAACTACAAAATTTCCGAGCTTCAACAACGCTTAATAAACATGAATGTTTGTTGCTGCTGTCTGCTATTATTAACCAAATAGTAATTCATAAAAGCTTTTTGGAGCTACATTTTTGGCGTATAAGCTAACTAGATACAACTAAGTTTGGTGATGTATTCTACGGAAAACTTCGTTCTAATATGAATGACGTTCTGAAAACGTGCAAGTATGAACCCATCTAGGTCGAACTGTAGTGCGTAGTTCATCTCTTTATAAATAATTAACTCACGAGACGAATAACACTTACTGGCTTTTAAATGGCCAGAGGCAATAAGTCAGTTCAAATTCTCAAAATACGTCACCGTGAACCTGTTTAACAACGAAAATATTTTTGCAGCACGCTTGGTATTTTAAAATGTCGAGATAAGAGCTGGTATAAATATCTTACACATGGTGTATAGACCGTAAATTAGATCGAGGTTACTATTCATGAAGTATGAGCCGAAACAGTTCAAAATAGCGAATTTGAAGCATTAATTTGAGAAACATCGATTCAAAGATGCACAATATAAGACGTTCCACTTGCGCGAAGGTGTTGAAAATTACTTTTCCACCATTCCCAACTTAAACGACTTTAAAATCCAAGATCTGTGCCAGTTCAAATAGACCGGGTTTGGAGGACTTTCAGCGATGCGTTTCAGTTGATTTTATCGAAATTTATCATTGCAAGAATAAATATTTATTGTAATGAGAGAAACTGTGAAAGATAATGTAAACGAGTGGTACTTAATAAATAAATATGATTAGGAATGAAGTAAAATGTACCTTAATAATGCTTTCGCCATTAAGTACAATCACCGTTACACGAAGATATTTACAATGTCAGTCGGAAGCTGTACATGATTTGGCATTATTAATACTCGCTAACTGGTTAGAAAGAGCGACGGGGTTACACAAAGTGGTAGAAACATCACCAATCAAATAGCCTCAAATTCAGCGATGAACAGTTTAAAGCACATTCATTTGACAGTTGAAAAGCCAAACGTCTATCTCTACACGAATAACTTTGGGTAGTAAATAATGTTATCTAGATGTTTGTGATGACTCACAAGACACACGGAAGTTATGATCGAGATATAACCATAGGTGTCTGATCGTTGTTATATTTTATCTATATTTAGTCTTTTCTCTCGTTATTTTTCAACGCTTAATTCAATAAAAATTTCGCAAGATAATTATTGGACTTTCCTCGATTCAATCTCACGGGCGGTAAGGTTGGCCTTTCCGCTACATGTTTTCAGCATCGTTGATCATCTAGTCTTTTTAAGAAATGATAAGTGGAGCTTAGATTTGTTGTCAATACTTTTTTGGTACATGTCTTAGAGGACCTCGCTTTTTAGTACCCTGGGCATTTCAGCACTCAGGTTATTTCTAAAATCGTCCACACATCACCCGTTGTTTGCCGACGTTTTAGAACTCCATATTTTATGGGTACCCTACCAAAAAAGCAAGGCATGAAATCTGATGGGCGGACGCTCTTGGACGAAGGTATGTCCATCTAATTACAGTTAAAGTGTTACATCCCCTCATCCTTTCTTGACAAGCTTCCGTTGTAAACGATTACAAACCTTTTCATTTTACGCTCGATATCATCCAATAAATATTGGTAATGTTTCACCTAAAAGTTGTTTATTTCTACATCTGCAATGTTTTTGTTACATGTGTAAGCTATAAATACTGTAAAGGTTCAAATAGCATAGTTTTTGACCAAATAAACTATAAGACTATCATAACCTTATTAGGTGGCTGTTATAGATTGAGGGTCCATTCTCCCAATGAAAATAAATATTCTCACTAAAGCTTTAATGCATCTATGACTAGTTAACCTGTCTTGAGTTGATCCCCAAAACTCAATGTCTGCTTGTGTAAGGCGAAACACGGAGAGACTATAATTTATGGACGAACCACTCAGATCGATAACAGATTTTGGCGCAAAATTCACTCATCCATTTGGTTGGATGGAGTTTTGGCATTATAGCTGATGTCAGTTCGTGATGGAAACTCCATATCTTATTCATAACCTTAACCATCAACTGTATATATTAATCCTAACCCCTCACGCTGGTTTATAACCCTCAGTTAGCCGTAGTATGTAGGCGGACATTCTCAAGGTCTCTTTAGCTTCACTCAAAGGTCGTCCATAAATTACAGCTTCACCATACTTCTTGTGAATAAGCTTTATGTCACAGACTAACCAAGTTTATATTCAAATATCCTTTTTTCATATGTCTAGTTAACTAGCTGTAGATATTCGATATTTTACTTAATCCCTCACCCTCGTCCTCTCTTGATATAATCTTTCTATAAGCATTTAATGAAAGCACACTATACTGACTTATCAGTCAACCAGGCGATACTGCCTAGTTTTATGGCAATTAACAACAAAAGCCAATAAGATTACTGTGAAATAGTGATTTTGATATGATAAATAACCCTTTATATGTTAACTTATTGATTAGCGTAAAGGAAAAAGGTCGAGTTTACAAATTTGGAACGGGGATAGTGTTGTAGGTTGGAATCATAAGCCTATAAAGTTTTAGTCACAAACCGAAACTAGCTATAATTGAGAAAGGTTAGGGTTTGTTAATAGGATTTAGATCACATTTATGCATTAGGATAACGAATCAAGTTTCGGGTGTTTATCACTAAATGACATTAGCTATAATAAGACGATACTTTTCTACACCTTTATTCACAAAATTGCTTTGGAATTAGGAGTTAGAGTGAGAGGATACTCTCTAGCTGCACAATCACCATTGACTATGCACTGAATCATACCGTATAATATAACACAGTGCATCAGGAGCAGGTATTTCTTGTTATCTAGCTTAGATACTATATTGTATTCACTGATTTGTTTGCACAATAGGTTGTTTTTAAACACCAATTTTAAGCATCTTAGAAACCTGTCATTGTCAAATTTTACTTAGTTAATCACAAAATACAAGATATCTAGCACTGGGCTTCTAATTTAGCGCAAACATTTATGAGCTTCTTTTCATAGTGATTGCCCCCAAATACCCTGGCATGGTCGAGAGTGGGGAGAGCCAGCTCTTCCCCAAAATGCTCCCACATGGCCACACATACAATCACTATCAAGGAAGTCCTTCTTGTGGCGAACCGGTTGTTTACGAGATTGAGAGAACGAAAGTCGAATGTCTGGCGCTTTAACTGGGTTGGTGGACTCGGAGAGTTCACCTAGGGGAGTTGGAAAACCCTAATTCCAAACCAATGGTGCACATGAGCTCCAGTATCCTAAAGGAACAAAAGGCGTATGAACCTTTTTTTGGTCACCGGCTACTATGGAAGTGCATCTCCTAACTTTACTTCACTGTCTTGTGTATTAGACTTGTAGGTCAAAGGCTCTGGGTGTAGTGCCCTAAGAAAATCACCTGCTTTGGTTTGGACGTTCGGGCAGTATCACAGCCCTCACAAAAATCGAATGACGAAGTAAGGAGTGCATATATTAAATATCCCCTTGTACTATTATTTATATTTAAATAAATAAATAGTTCCCAACGATTATTCATAATCATATGTTATCTTGAGACTTTTTGAGTTCGTTGCCAAGTGATCCTGGTTACATGTATTCTTTTTCCCCATTTTAGACCTACTTTACCTTTTTTACATAGATATTTGCTGCTGGCAACTTTCTAAATAAAATATCTCGTGCCTGTTGGTTATTTATTTACAGTATAAATGAATGTCTTTCAGTATTTTATAATTCGTATTACCATCTGTATTCATTCCTGAAATAATTAAATGTGATACACTGGGGAATGGACGTTAGTTCATGGGGCTGAATTGTATTCAATATCTTACGTCTACCGTTTCCTTGTTCATGTAGAATTTTTTTTATTTTATTAATTTTTCTCAAGGTATGGACTACTACTCAGTAACGGCATTCAGAAAGATGAATGCATTTCGCAAGGAGGGGCAGCTCTGTGATGTAGTTATCAAAGCAGAGGGAAGAGAATTTTTAGCTCACCGTGTAGTTTTGGCAGCTTCCAGCGACTATTTCGACGCCATGTTTTCAAGTGGGGTAAGCTTATTTTTGAATGTATTTAGTTTCTTTCAATGAACTGTTCGTTTTACATATTTCTATGATTATTGGTAGAATTCACTGGAGTTGCGAAGTGTTTTGGATATTTCGTTTTTAAAAGAAATGGTATATATATATATTTATATATATATATATATATAGTTTATTCTTTATTCTCTTCTAAATCTTGAGTTTTAGCACTGTTGCATACTTCTTATGTGTAGATAACATTTACTAATATTTAAGAGGTGAGTACGTTATATGAATCTAAGAAAGACACAAAACAAACAGAAAAAATGAACTTTTGTGTATTATAGAATTATCGTTGTTTTAAAAGTTAACCTTAGTAACTATTTTTCAGTTCTGGCTTGTGCTTTTCACTCACAGTAGATATGTTTGGATATCTATGGATTAGTTGCATCCACCCGAAATTTTATGTCGCAAATAATAGTCGTGATCTTTCCCTTTAACTTATGATTGTGATTGTTTCGTTTTGCTTATCACGTGACCATTTCATTTGTTGAGTTCCAGTAGATGTTTGTCATAAGTAGAGAAGTGGCTTGCTTGCTAAAGCACTCGAATTCCAAACATCAGGTTGCAAAATTAAATCAAGCTTCATCTTCTTCGGCTTATGCATTGGAGTACTATCTCTAACCAATCCACAAAAAGGTATGATTCAAAGTGGAATATACGAACATGTACAAGATCACTGTTTCAGATCAATTGTGTGCATTATGTGCCTTCACTCCAATTATCAAATTCTGTGCTTTCCGATTGGTTTGCTATGTTAGCGCCTAATCCTAAGTAACAATCCCATGCAGAAGTTTCAAGTTCTGTTTAAATATTTTGCCTAATCGTTCTAGACATTCTATCCTTTCACCTTAGTTCAACCCAGCTCCTGAAAGCATATTCAAGGTGTAATCTAACAGCTTAATCTAATGAAAGAGAAAAGAAGCCAGCCAAACACAAGTTCAGTCAGTTGTCATCAACACAAGTTAAAATAAAGCGGTTGCCGCAGGGACTATCTATATCGTGGTCCCTAAATTACGTAATTACTAGCCTTTCGGATTTGATTTATCAGTAAGTTTGACGAGGTAGATAATGTTAAGCTCCATCCCTAATCGCTTCATTAAGTTTCTAACATATTCCTGATACTGAACCTAGTTTCGAATCGCTGTCATGGTTTTTGAACAGAGTATTGTATTGTTAATGTAGCCCTTTAATTAACTTATATATATATTCATTATATTTTATTTCTTATCAGATGGCTGAATCAGCGCAGTTGGAAGTTGAACTCAAGTCCATCACTCCTGAAATAATGGATACCCTTCTAGATTATGTGTACACTGGTCAAGTTCGTGTAAGCATGGCTAATGTCCAAGACCTTCTTCCAGCAGCAAGTCTTGTTCAGATGGAGGGTGTTAAAGTTGCTTGCTCTAATTTTCTCTTGACGGAAGTAGATTCCACGAATGTTCTTGGCATCAGACGATTTGCTGAACTGCATAACTGTGTAGAATTAGAAAAGTTTACACGAAACTTTGCAGCCTGTAATTTTGAGTCAGTTGTTGACTCGGAGGAATTCGTATGCCTCACACCTGAGGAATTGCTTGATCTTATTACAAGAGAAGATTTACACGTAAGAAATCAAGCAAATTAGATTAATTTTGAATACTTAATTTTAATCTCGCTAATTGGGGGATTTGAGATATCGTTCATTTTATACTACCATCGCATATTATCACAAAGCCTGTTTGACGTGTCTAGACTTCTAATTTACCAAGTTAAAATTTTCCTCATTAGATGGGTTACCATCGTAATTATTTACTGTTTTTATCTTTTAACTAATAGTGTGTTTGGACCAATTTGTTTAATCTCAAATGTGATTGTATAAGTATTGGTCTGCACATATATGGAGGCTATGTACTGTAGCGTACATATCTTACTCGATCTTTTAAGATAAGCGTGCGAAAACAGCATTATTTGCTAGAACTGACAGTTTTGATTTGATTTTCATGGAACTTACATTTTGACTCGCTTTCACTTATTACCGTTCTTAAATGTTATTATTAATATATTATTAGTATTGTGTGTGTATGTGTCACTACTGATAGTTAGATACTTGGAAAATGATTGTATTTTACAAAGTCATTTTTATTTTAGTGCAGCATTGGACGCTATTTTTTATGACGTTTCATAACCTTATTTCGCATCAGGATAGTTTTCCAGTAATATAAGCACTAATTTGATATTTCATACACATAGTTCCCTTCATTATATTAAAGAGAGCAAGAACGAAGATTGGTGCAGAATAATATGAACTCATTTTACTTGGTTAGGTTCTCATCAGCTGCTTACAATCTATAACACTTAAAATCAACGTTATCACAGATATTGACATACTTATAAATACGAGGGTGATTGGAGATGGATATGTGTATCATGATGCAACGAAGACTTCGATTGAGTTAATGTCATAAAAGTTTTGTTTCAGATAAATAAATTTTGGGAGGGAAAGTTCCAGAACATTGAAATGATTATTAGAACTTCTGGAGTTAACAAACATTAGATGACTGTGTAATGAAGTTTAATGGTAATAATGTATCGGCAGTATATATTCTTTCTGTTCTATGAAATAGTATTTTAAAAGTGCCATTTTTGTAACTAAATTGGACAACGTATTATTCAAGGTAGATTGACGATACCTTCATCGTATGCACTAATCGACATGTAACAAATCTGCTAAAACTTTTCAACGACGTCCATCCAAAAATTCAGTTTATTATGGAACATGAAAATGAAAACAAGTTCCATTTTCTCAATATCGTAATGGAACGAAAGAAGAATGGCACAGCTCAACGTTTAGTTTATAGAAAAGATACATAAAATGGGATATATCTTAACTGCAATAGCTTTTATCCAATCAGTTACAAAAAGACACTTTTTAAAATACTGTTTCATAGAACAGAAAGAATATATACTGCCGATACATTATTACCATTAAACTTCATTACACAGTCATCTAATGTTTGTTAACTCCAGAAGTTCTAATAATCATTTCAATGTTCTGGAACTTTCCCTCCCAAAATTTATTTATCTGAAACAAAACTTTTATGACATTAACTCAATCGAAGTCTTCGTTGCATCATGATACACATATCCATCTCCAATCACCCTCGTATTTATAAGTATGTCAATATCTGTGATAACGTTGATTTTAAGTGTTATAGATTGTAAGCAGCTGATGAGAACCTAACCAAGTAAAATGAGTTCATATTATTCTGCACCAACCTTCGTTCTTGCTGTATTTAAAAACCAATTTGATATTTCGAGAGGGAAACTGTAGTACTAAAATGTTTGGTTAACTTGTTTGGGATCCCTACCAATATTTGTATTTCCAGTTTTCCGTTTGTAAAAGTACTGGCTCATGAATATCAATACAATTTTTTTTCAGATTGACAATGAAGAATCTGTATATAACGCTGTTATGCGCTGGGTATATCATCAACCAATTGAAAGGGTCGCGAATCTTCCTTCTTTGCTTCGAAACATTCGTCTTTCAGTTATGTCAGTTCGATTCCTCACAGATGTTGTGGATAAAGATGTAAGTAGGTTTACACAATAAAGACTAAACAGTTTTCTCACATTTTACGCTTAGTGTTTATTTGGCTTATCTGTCAACCAGTTGGCGTTTGTCATTGAGATTAACGTGTTATTTTTCCTTTACGTTACTGTCATTGAACTTTTATTAGAGTTACTTAGAGTTTTATCACCCATCTTGAGTCTATATGGACTCTTGTTCTGGTCGTCAGTTTTGTAAAATGTCGAACTTAAGAGTGCAGACATGCAGTCCTAAATTTATCATTCAATACCACGATCAATAATTATGGTATTTAAAACGGTGCTACTATACTGTATTGTTAATAAAAAGCTTAGTATTGAGGTGTAATCTGTTTATCCTAAATACAACTTCTATTTTCTGGGATTACAGATGTGTTTCTATCCCGCTTAAGGACTGGCCTGCATTATTGTCTTGACTTGTCATAAGGAGTTAAGTAGTTGGATGCATTAATCACCTCACTTGACTTGGGAATCTCATTAGCCCTATTGGGTTGGTTTATGATAAAATTTAGGCACTGATTCCGAAATCTGAGTTAGTATTTGGCAACTTTTGTCACTGGTGGCGTAGGTGAGATGTATGTCTACCATCAGTTTGAAGTGTGACTTTGAAAAGTCGAGGGGATTCGTAGATTGCTAGTTTTAGGTAATAATTGTCTTCGAAGCACCAGCAACTAAGCAGTGCTGAGTTTAGGCGTAGGGTAAGATAGAGATCCCTAATATGTTAATGGGACTATGAATCTTTATCAATTGGGTTGACTGGGACGTGTGTTACGAATGTACACTACGATATGGAATGTTGGGTAGAGTGAAGAAAGTTAGGGGCGGTGAAATCGTGTTATCAGTCCGCGAGGCCGTCAAATGTTGGTGTGAGCTATTGTGACATGCTACTTACTTACTCCTGTTACTCCCAGAGGGACATAGGCCGCCGACCAGCATTCTCCTACCCATTCTGTCCTGGGTCTTCTTTTCTAGTTCTATCCAATTGTTGTCCATTCTTCTCACATCTGTCTCCACTTCTCGGCGTAATGTGTTCTTTGGTCTTCCTTTCCTCCTTTGGCCTTGACGATTCCGAGTGAGTGTTTGCCTCAATGCGTGTCCTATCCACTTCCAGCGCTTCTTCCTAAATTCTTCCTCCGCTGGAATCTGGTTTGTTCTCTCCCACAGTACGTTGTTGCTAATAGTGTCCGGCCAACGGATCTGAAGTATTTCGCGTAGACAACTGTTAATAAACACCTGTATTTTCTGGATGACGGCTTTCGTAGTTCTCCAGGTTTCTGCCCCATATAGTAGAAATGTCTTGACATTTGTATTGAAAATCCTGACTTTGGTGTTGGTTGACAGTTGTTTTTAGTTCCAAATGTTCTTCAGTTGTAAATATACTATTCTTGCTTTGCCGATTCGCGCCTTCACTTCTGCATCAGATCCACCATGTTCATCAATGATGGTGCCCAAATACGTAAAAGTTTTTACATCTTCCAAGTCTTCTCCGTCAATTGTGATTCGATTGGTGTATGTTATATCGTATCGGAGAATCTTGCTTTTCCCTTCCTGTATGTTGAGACTTGATGCTGCTGAGGCTGCTGCTACGTTGGTCGTCTTCTGCAATTGTTGTTGCGTGTGCTATAGAAGAGCCAGATCATCTGCGAAGTCTAGATCGTCCAGCTGCATCCTAGACGTCAACTGTATCTCACGCTTCCCTTCAGACGTTGACGTCTTCATGATCCAGTCGATCACCAGGAGAAGGATAAAGGGTGAGAGTAAGCAACTTTCCTTGATACCGGTCTTTACTTTGGACGAATCTGTGAGTTGTCCTCCATGCACGATTTTGCAGTTTGATCCATCATAAGAATTCGTATGATATTGACTATCTCCTCAGGCACGCCGTAGTGTCGAAGAAGCTTCCATAGTGTTATTCTGTCCACGCTATCAAATACTTTCTCGTGGTCAATGATTTTGGTATGGAGTGGTGAATTCCATTCAATTGATTGTTTCACAATGATCCGTAGTGTTGCGATTTGTTCGGTACACGATTGGTCCTTACGGAATCCTGCCTGTTGATCTCTAAGTTGGACGTCTACAGAGTCTTTCATTGTGTTTAACAACACCCTGTTGAAGACCTTTCCTGGTACTGACAGTAGTGTGATGTGTGGCAAGCCCATTTGGCCACTGTATCATCTGTCTATTCATTGTAACGTAGACTCTCAATTCACTATGTTAATTTCGGAGTGTATGATCGAATGCATGTCTGTACATTAACTTTTAAACTATTTTCCTATTGGTTTCAACGTGCAGATAATCGATAATTTATCTACACCCGATTAACCCTCAAATATATATGGATTTTTAACAAACTCACTCACTCTCTCTGTTCCCATCGTGTGCTTGCTCACAATACGCTTGTGGATTATCATTATTCATTAATAATAAACTATCGCCATAACTGGTGTTCAGGCTTCTTAATAATCTCGAGTGAATCCGTAATTCTACTAGGAGATTAAGCCTACCAAAAATACTCAGTTACGGAATATCATTATTTGGAGTCAGATATTAAGGACCTTACCCTTAACATATTGGATAGCTGCCGCCTCAACATATTGGTGAACCGCTTTTAGAACACACACCATTCCTCTACGAATTCTGCTGCATACTCTCCAAGCGTATCTTAAAGAACTTCACATTGGAATTACTATTACAATTATTAACAATTCATTAACAGTCATAATAAATCCATCCATAACATTGTTCCTTTGGAATTATTGCTGTATATTCGCATATTTAAACCAAAAGTGACAGTTTTTCTTTTTGGTGAGTCTTATATATATTTTTTGTTGTTGTTATTTTTGATTTCTCTTCATATTGTATATTACAATCCTCAGCTTATTATTACTATTGCTTTTTCGTATCATGGCACTTGATAATTCGTTAAGCCTTTCATCTAAATCTATTTCCGTGGGTGCCATCTCTGTACCTTTACCTACTTTTAATCCACGAAAGGCTGAACTCTGGTTCGCTCGTTTAGAAAGCTTTTTTGTAGCAAACAAAATCACAAACCAGAGTACGAAATTTAGTTATGCAAATTCACTGCTGCCAGATGACATCATTGAACAAGTGCCGGATGTCATTTTTAAGCCGGATCCTGACTCACCATTCGATTGTCTAAAAAGAGAGGTCATTCGTGTCACATCTCTCACCGACCAACAGACAATTAATCAACTTTTAGCCAACGTGGAGCTAGGTGACAATACACCGTCACAGTTAAAACGCCACATGACAAACTTATTAGGAAATCGTACAGTAGACAAACGTCTACTATATCAATTGTGGCTCAGACGTCTCCCTCAAAACATTCAACAGATACTAGCAATTGGAGACGAAGATGTTGATTTTGATAGACTAGCAGACATAGCCGACAGAATTTACGAACGGTCCAAGACTCACCTTGTATCTCAAATCCAATCAAGCTCAGCTGACGAGATCGCCGAGTTACGACGATCAGTTGATACCCTTACGAAACAGATAGCTCAGATCCAATTATTGAATGCATCCCACAGCAAGCGTAGAGGAACATCCACAAGCCGTAGACGACGTAGTCCAAGCACTACTAGACACAACATTTGCTGGTACCATAGAACATATGGCAAACAAGCTAGAAAATGTACTCCGCCTTGTAACTTTGCAAGCACACAGAAAAAGGGACGTCAAGACCGCAGGTTAATGACGACTGCACTCACTGACCACAACTCTCAAGACAGTCGTCTATTATATGTTACAGACAAAAGAACCGGCACACAGTTTTTAGTCGACACTGGGGCAGAGGTTAGTGTAGTACCACCTACTGCACTCGAGAAAAACACACCTGACCCCAAACTAAAACTACAAGCTGCAAACAGGTCTGACATCAAGACGTACGGCAAAAGGCGGTTGCAATTAAATTTCGGTCCTAAATCTATTTTTTCCTGGAGTTTCATCATAGCGGACGTCCTCGTTCCTATAATCGGCATTGATTTTCTGCAATTCCACAAAATACTGGTAGATGTCAGGAATAGGAAACTTGTCCTTGCCGAACAGAGTAAGGAAATTAGAGGAATTATATCAAATGAGACTTCCATACATTTATTAGTTAAACCTCATCATGAGAACGACAAATACGTCAATTTACTTAATCAGTTTCCAGATTTATTACGACCGAGTTTCAAACACGACAAACCGACGCATACCGTCGTACACCACATAAAGACAGAGGGTCCACCTGTGTTCGCACGTCCAAGACGCCTTGATCCCTCTCGTCTGGCTATCGCAAAGAACGAATTCAACAAAATGATTGAGTTGGGCATCATACGCCCCTCCGATAGTCCGTGGGCATCACCGCTTCATATGGTACCTAAGAAAAACTCTTCCGAAGTTAGACCGTGCGGTGATTATAGAGCTCTCAACAGCCGGACCATTCCAGATAGATATCCTCTCCCACATCTGCATGACTTCACTCATAGCCTATCTGACGTGTCGATCTTTTCAAAAATTGATCTCGTCCGTGCTTACCATCACATTCCAATTCATCCGGACGATGTTCCTAAAACAGCCATTACTACCCCCTTTGGACTATACGAATTCGTCCGCATGCCTTTCGGATTAAGGAATGCTGCACAAAGTTTCCAGCGTTTTATTGACCAAGTGGTACGGGGCTTACCGTTTGTGTATGCTTACATAGATGACCTACTTATAGCAAGCAAAGATGAAAATGAACATCTAACTCATCTGAAAATGCTTTTTGAGAAGCTAAACGAGTATGGGTTAGCGGTCAATCCTGACAAATGTGAATTCGGAAAACAATCCCTCACCTTTTTAGGTCACGTACTTGATAAGCAAGGCATTAAACCAGTTCCTGAGGAAACACAAGCTATCAAAAATTATCCTTTGCCTGATTCATTCAAGAAACTACGACGTTTCCTTGGGATGATCAACTTTTACAGACGTTTTATCCCTAAATGTGCAGACTTAGCAAAACCACTAACTGATTTATTAAGGGGACGAGCTAAATCATTAGCAATGACACCACAAGCAATTCAAGCATTTGATCAGTTGAAAAGCGCTTTAAGCACAGAGGCATTACTCGCACGACGAAAGGTTGATGCACCTTTAGCAATAATGACCGACGCTTCTAACGTAGCAGTAGGTGCTGTACTTCAGCAACGTGTCAATGAACAATGGCAACCCCTTGCATTTTTCTCAAAAAAGCTAAACGCAACGCAAACAAAATATAGCACATTCGGTAGAGAACTGTTGGCTATCTACTTAGCCATCAAACACTTTCGCTACATGTTAGAAGGCAATTCTTTCACGATATATACTGATCACAAACCCCTAACTAAGTCCTTGATGCACAATCATGATAAATATAGTCCGCGCGAAATTCGTCAACTAGAATTCATTTCACAATTTGCAGCTGATATACGCTATATTAAAGGCAATGCAAATGAGGCAGCAGATGCACTATCGAGATTAAATATCAATACCTTCTCGATCCCTGATATAGAATATCAAGAAATGGCAAAGCATCAAAAGGTCGATACGGAGCTACAAAAGCTTTTGCAGTCTAAGGAAACGAAATTATTATTCCAAAACATCCCCATAAACAACAAGGACACCTTAACTTGTGATACCTCAACAGGTAAAACTCGCCCTTTTGTACCTTTCGGTATGAGACGAAATATTTTTGAGAAATTACACAATATATCTCATCCAGGTATAAAAGCCACTGTAAAGCTTGTCACAGATAGATTTGTATGGCCAAAAATAAACAAAGACGTAAGAAAATGGTCACGGGAATGCGTCCAATGCCAAAAGTCAAAAGTACATAGGCACATCATATCTCCTACCGGAATTTTTCCCGCCGCTAGCGCTAGGTTCGACCATATTCATATCGACATTGTCGGACCGTTACCGATTTCTAATGGTTACACGCATATATTAACATGTATAGATAGATTTACGAGATGGCCCATAGCTGTTCCGTTAAAAGACACGTCAGCATCAACAGTGGCGAAGAAGCTGGTGAAACACTGGATTACAAACTTCGGTGTCCCTACAACAATTACGACCGACCGTGGAACGCAATTCGAAAGCAAACTATTTCAGCAACTTACAGATACTTTCGGTATAAAGAGAATTAGAACCACTGCTTATCATCCGTCTGCTAATGGAATGATAGAAAGATTCCATAGACAGTTAAAAGCCTCTTTGACGGCCGCACGAGGAGATTACAAATGGGATATCAAGTTTCCTTTGATACTATTAGGCATTCGCTCAACCATCAAACAAGACCTCGGTTGTTGTGCTGCTGAGTTGGTTTATGGAACAACATTACGTTTGCCTGGTGAATTTTTTGACCGTGCAACAGATATTCCAGCAGATATAACCAACTACGTACAACAATTAAAACAGCAGATGGAATCCATTAGGTCCGTTAAACCACGAACCCAAAAGGTGAAATCATTCGTACCCAACGAACTAGACAAATGCTCACATGTATTCGTGAGAAATGATAGAGTACGACAGCCGTTACAGACTCCTTACGACGGCCCTTTTAAAATCATCCGAAAGGACACTAAAACGGTTACAGTGGAAAGAGCAGGTAAACATGATACAGTTAGCATCGATAGAGTAAAACCAGCATTTTTAGAGAACACTGAAAAACAGACAACGGTAAAACCGTCTAAACCTGCAGCAGAGCAAGCACCATTCAAACTACCTGCAACAAGCAACACTTCAAATCGAAATTTAGCAGCAGCACAAACTACAACAAGATCAGGAAGAAGAGTACATTGGCCAGATAGGTATGTAGCAACCACCATATTTATCTAGACCAAATCCTGAGACTACTCTTGTAACACATAAAAATCCTATTTTATTTTGATTACTATTTTTTTTATTGGCCCCACGGATCATCATTATGCTTACATTTTAACTTTATACAATTCATTAATGTTAAATATACACTTGTATATACATGATATGAAACGTTTCAACACACAAGCTGTTATTACAATTTTACGCTTACTCATCATATTGAGTTGTACTTTCATTTTAAAAACAGTTCCGTTCTTTATCTTTGTCGAACATAGATGTTAATCCAATTTTTTTTTTGGTACATAAAAACATCAATGTTCTGGATGGGAGCTTATGTGGCAAGCCCATTTGGCCACTGTATCATCTGTCTATTCATTGTAACTTAGACTCTCAATTCACTATGTTAATTTCGGAGTGTATGATCGAATGCATGTCTGTACATTAACTTTTAAACTATTTTCCTATTGGTTTCAACGTGCAGATAATCGATAATTTATCTACACCCGATTAACCCTCAAATATATATGGATTTTTAACAAACTCACTCACTCTCTCTGTTCCCATCGTGTGCTTGCTCACAATACGCTTGTGGATTATCATTATTCATTAATAATAAACTATCGCCATAACTGGTGTTCAGGCTTCTTAATAATCTCGAGTGAATCCGTAATTCTACTAGGAGATTAAGCCTACCAAAAATACTCAGTTACGGAATATCATTATTTGGAGTCAGATATTAAGGACCTTACCCTTAACATATTGGATAGCTGCCGCCTCAACAGATGCCTCTGTAGTTATCACACTTGCTTAGATCTTTATTTGATATCTTGATCAGGTATTGTTCTTCCCAGTCTGTTGGTACTTGTTCTTCATCCCAAATCTTGCCCATGGGAATGTTGAGTATCTTTGCAGTTACTGCTGCATCCGCTTTCAGTGCCTCTGCTGGAATGTTGTCTGGTCCCTCTGTTTCCCCGCTCTTGATTTATCTGGTGGCCATGCTAATCTCTTCAATTGTTGGTGGATCAACATTGATTGGGAGGTCCGTGGTTGCTGCTTAGATGTTGGGTGGGTTCAGTGGTGCTGGTCGACTGAAGAGTTCCTTAAAGTGCTCTACTCACCTGTTTCTCTGTTCTTCAATGTTGGGGATTACGTTGCCTTCCTTGCTTTTCCCTGGTCGTTCTGGTTTACGATAATATCCAGCGAGTTTCTTTGTTGTATCATATAATCGTTTCATGTTTCCTTCTCTTGTAGCCTTTTCTGCCGTCATTGCTAGATCTTCCCCATATTTGCGTTTGTCGGCTCTGATGCTCCTCTTCACCTGCTTGTTTGTTTTTGTGTATTCAGCTTGTGCCTTAGTTTACTCTACTCTTGTTCGGCTGATATTGATTACTGCCTCCTTGTTCCTCATTACTTGAATTTTGACATATGCAACTACTTAATTGTGATTTATGTTATCAACAGCTGGAGACTTTGGGTGAAATCCCTTAGAATCATCAACACTAGCGTACATACATTCGCCTCCTCTGAATTTTCATTCCTAGTAATCACTCATACATACGTTTTTATTCTGTCTTTTAAAGCCAAACTTTCTCACTATTATTGCCACTGCATTATTTCGTTCCCGGTATTTTTCATCTTATTAATTTCGTCTCGGGCTAATGTGATTGTATCTACAACTAACTAACGTTTGTTCCAGATTGTACGTTACTTATGACTAATGAAAGCGGTTATGTTACAACGTAATCTTTATGTTATGCCTCAAAGAGACAGCCCGATTATATGACAGTGACTTATCGATCGGATCAAGGATTCAGAATCTCGATAGACTATTCTGGTCCGTTGTCCCCAACTCTGCTAACTCGATCAAGAAGTCTGTGTAAGGTGTAGAAAGTGTATTCTACAGACAACAGCAGATAACAAGTCAGGCAGGCAGATCAGATCAAGCATACAAGTCAAGCGTATTTATACAATTATTTACAATCGATAGAAAATTTTTAAACATTAATCAATGAGTTCATTAATTGACCTATTTGCGCATGTAATCGATAGTTCATCAATTGACTGCTATTCAAACATTTAATCGATTAGTTCACCAATTGACCCCAATAAAAATATCTAACATTTAATCAATAAGATGATCGATAAGATAAATTTTAAAATATGAGTTTGGGGATCTATCGTCCCCAACACTTTATCTATGAATAAGTTCACAATTTCCAAATTTTAGCGTCTTATTCGACAATCTCTCGAGTGTCGGGATTTGGTAGATGATGCGAAACGATTTCATTTACGTCCAGATTTACGCCATGAAATGCGTGATCGAAGATTTCGTCAGCGTGACGGTGGCAATGAGTACTTAGTTGTTATTGGTGGTTTCGGTTCTGATCAGGACCCTTCGGATTCCGTTGAAATGTTTAACCCACGAACCTTAGAATGGAACGAGTTACCTGTAAGTTATCAAGGTGTATCAATTTATAGATCTTTTATTTCTTACTGTATTATTTATTTAAACACATAAATATTGGTACAAAGGGCACCGAATGCATATGCACCACACAATTCACTTGATTTGTGTGTGGGCTATGATACTGCTCAGGTGAACAAACTGAAGCATGTGGTTTTCTTAGGGGCCACACTCAGAACCTTCAACCTAAAGGTAGCGGAGAAACGTCAGGCGATGCAGTACCATGGTAGCGGGTGACCGGCGATTGGTTCATAGGCCTTCTGTTTCTTCAGGATACTGGAGCTCATGTGCACCATTGGTTTGGAATTAGGGTTTTCCAACTCCCCTAGGCGAACCTTCCGAGTCCACCAACCCGGTTAAAGCGCCGGACATCGTCCTCTCAATTTCGTAAACAACCGGTCCGCCACAAGAAGGCACTGAGTAGGACTTCCTTGATGGTGATTGTGTATGCGTGGCCATGTGGGAGCATTTCGGAAAAGAGTTGGCTCTCCCCACTCTTGACCGTACCAGGGTGTTTGGGGGCATTTCTTTCTGTAAGTTTTTTTTTCGAGTCAGTTCAGCTAGACTCTACCTTTACTTTACTTATTGTTATTATGTTATCAAGTTTTCACATTCTCCGAACTTTTAAATCTTCAAATCCAGTGTTTTATCAGGCACCTAATCTATTTACCGATATAATTTGTTTCATCACTATCTGTCGGTTTTTTTATTTGGATTACTAGCATTACATATTTTTTATGCATTGTACAGAATAGTTATAGGCTTTTTTGGTCGAAGGTTTGTTTGCTCTAGCTTAAAAGATGTACAGTGAACTAAAACTTCTGTAAACAAATATCTGATTTCGAGGACGAAAAGTTCAAAAAATTTTATTTCCCTCATTTGCTTGTGATTATAGCTGATAGCTAAAATGTGTAGTCTTTACAAAATTAGTTTGTCTGTCAAAAGATTATCCAGAATCTTAACAATTTTGAGCTTTTGTTGATCTTTATTTGTAAATTGCAAACCAAGCTAAAGCTATATGCAACTCACTAATTACTTCAAGGTTCGCATACTAAACTGTGAGTCAATGATTCTACCTTACTCCTGGAATTTCGATATTAAAATTACTCGCCCTCTTAGGTTAAAGGAACCGGACGTATTCTTACTCTAAATCTTATCTTTGCTGTTATTCTTGAATGGCTACTGATAGTCGTGCATAAAGTTACCACTATGTGCAGGTCTAAAGTATCATTCCATTCATAGGTTGCCTGTCTTCATTTCATGTTTTGGTCTCAATTACAAACATCCGACATCATAAACCAGCAGGAGTTATGTTTCAGTGAAGAAAGAGCCCTCATAATTGATCTTTTACAGCACTCAATAGTGCTGAACTCCCTTCGTTTCTATATTCCTGTAGCTAACAAGAGATAAAGTAGTGGTGGTAGTAGCTAATTTATGATTAGTAAACTTAACAAAGTAGCTCCATTTAAAAAATTAATTTGTTTGCTAATCCAAAATTAAATAGCAAGGTGACTGCGTTGTTTTGTTCAAATTAAGTTGGAAATAAATTGATCTAAAGTTCATCGTCCAACAAGCCCTGTTATTCATATAAAAAACATCCATGTTTTTAATTAACATTTTTTAGGATTTACCGATAAGTTACCGCTATGTAGCAGCATGTTCATTGGGTACATGTGTCTACGTCATTGGTGGTTTTGATGGAAATGAAAGACTAAATACCGTATACTCCCTTGATATCGCTCAGAGAGAAGAAGGTTGGCGTTTACTTACTCCAATGCACTATAAAAGAGGTCTATCTGCTGCTTGTACAAACAAAGGTAGCTATTAGAGTATGAAAATAATTTGTCTCTCAATAATTCAAGTGTAATTATATTCCAAATTTTTTATTGATGCCTTTTAAATTATTGCTGAGTTTGAGCTTTATCACTATTCAAATTATAAACTGGACAGCAAATTCTAGATACGGGAGAAATGTTGCTATACTCCGATCACGAAGAAAATGCTCCACACACACAGGGAGTCGCTCTGATGCTGTTCAAAGAAGCACGAAATACACTTATAGGATGGGAATCTCACGGATACAGGATCATCAAGGCATCCTTCAAAACAAAAAAGAAGGCAATCATAATAAATGCTATCTAGTGTTATGCACCCAACAATGACAGCAATGACGACAATAAAGATCAGTCCTATGAGAGGCTGCAATCAATTATAGCGAAGTGTCCAATAAAAGACCTGACCATCCTGATCAGAGACTTAAACTCCAAGATCAGAATGGACAACACCAGATATGACGATATCATGGGACGACATGGACTGGGAGAGAGGAACGAAAATGATGAGAGATTTGCGAACCTATGTGCATTCAACAAATTGGTTATAGGCGGCACAATATTCCCATACAATCGCATACACAAAGCTACATGGATCTCACCGGATCACACCACGGAGAACCAGATAGATCATATTTGTAACAATAAAAAATTCAGAAGGATAATGGGAGATATGAGAATCAGGAAGGAGGGGAGCTGACATAGCTTCAGATCGTCAGCTGCTTGTGGCCATGATGAAACTGAAGCTAAAGAAACACTGGACATCTGGGGAAACATCAGTACAAAGGTTCAATACAGAATTCCTGTGATACACTAATAAACTCAACCAATTCAAGATAACTCTCAACAGAAGATTCCGAGCATTACAAGATCTACTCGAAGAAGAAACTACGATGGAGGATAATTGAAAAGGAATCAAAGAAGTACTGACTTCAACATGCCAGGAGGTGCTGGGTCGCAACAAGCATCATCACAAGGAATGGATCTCTATAGAAACTCTGGACAAGATTCAATAAAGGAAGAACAAGAAGACAGCGATTGACAACAGCCAAACACGAGTAGAGAAAGTCAAGGCACAAGCTGAATACACAGAAGCAAAGAAGCAAGTGAAGAGGAGCATTAGAGCTGACAAGCAGAAATATGTAGAAGAGCCAGAAACGACAACGGACAAAGCCTGAAGCGAAGAAAATATGAGACAGTTATATGGCACAACAAAGAAACTAGAAGGGAAATATAGTAAACCAGAGAGACTGATCAAGGAAAAAGAAGGCAAGACAATCACCGAGATTCAAGAACAGAGGAACAGATGGGTAGGATACTTCGAGGAGTTCTTGAATAGATCAGCTTCATTAAAACCACTGGACATCGAAGCAGCACCTACTGTAAAATGTGATCGATAGACGAACTCACCAATAATAAAGGGAAACGCCCACCACCACATTAACTCCCTTTGAGCTTGTACTACTGTATCTCTTTATTAACCAATCACAGTTTGATGTTCATTGTAAAACAAAATTTGCTTGTTGACTCATTTTTCCTATTCTCTGGCTACTGTTCGGTAAGTTATTTGTCTGTTTTTTCCCTGTATTAATAGACCGTACAGTTTGTTTGTACACTAACGGTGTTAATTTATGTATTAGAAACAGATAAAGTTTATCTAGCCAAATAGCGTGCTTTTTCCGACTTTGGCCAAACCAAGACTCTGTATTCGACGGTCTAAAGAATAGCTCAGAATTAAACTTGTAAGAAATTACTCCCTACACCTACAGACCTTCCTGTAGATCTCACTCCACAAACGACAGAAGAAATCAGGATGGCCATCAGACAAATCAAGAGCGGGAAAGCAGCAGGACCTGACAATATACCAGCTAAGACTCTAAAATCAGACACAGAAGTAACTGCACGTATACTTCACGTGCTATTCAGGAAGATTTGGGAGGAAGAACAAGTGCCAACAGACTGGAAAGAAAAACACTACATCAAAACACCAAAGAAAGGAGATCTGAGCAAATGTGAGAACTTATTCGACACTATGGTATACCTGAGAAGATCGTCAACATCATCCAGAATTCATACGACGGACTACAGTGCAATGTGTGGCGCATATATATTTGGTGCCCTCTTGTACCAATATTTATGTGTTTAAATAAAATAAAACTACAGTGCAAATTCGTACATAAAGGACAGCTGAAAGATGTTTTCCAAGTAAGAACTGGAGTCACACAAGGTTGCTTAATCTCACCCTTTCTCTTTCTTCTGGTGGTCGACTGGATTATGATGACCTCAACATCTGAGGGAAAGCACGGAATACAATGGACAGCTCGGAATCAATTAGAAGATTCGGACTTCACAGATGATCTAGCTCTTCTACCTCATATACACCAGCAAATGCAGATGAAGACAACCAGTTTAGCCGCAGCCTCTGCATTAGTAGGCCTCAACATACACAGGAAAAAGCAAGATCCTCAAATACAACACAGAGAACAACAACCCAATCACACCTGATGGAGAAGCTCTGGAAGACGTGGAATCGTTCACGGACCTAGGAAGCATCATCGGTTAACAAGAGGATCGGATGCAGACGTAAAGGCAAGGATTGGGAAAGCAAAGGCCGCATTCCTCCAATTGAAGAACATATGGAACTCAAAACATCTGTCAACCAATGTCAAAGTGAGTGTCTTCAGTACGAACGTCAAGACAGTTTTACTGCGCGGAGTTGAAACTTCGAGGACTAACATAACCATCATCAAAACAGTAGAAGTATTTATAAATAATTGCTTATGTAAGATACTTCAGATCTGTTGGCCGGACACTATCAGTAACAACCTACTATGGCAGAGAACAAACCGGCTTCCAGCTGAAGAGGAAATTAGGAAAAGATGTTGGAGGTAGATAGGATGTACATTGCAGAAATCATTAAACTGCATCGCGAGGCAAGCCTTAACTTGGAATTCTAAAAGAAAACGAAAAACAGGAAGACCAAAGAACACATTGCGTCGGTAATTTGAGGCAGACATAAGAAGAATGTACAGCAATTGAAAACAGCTGGAAAGTATTGTCCAGGACAGCATAGGATGGAAAGTGCTGGTCAGCAGCCTATGCTCCACGAGGTATAACAGTCGTAAAGAAGTAAGTCTCCTGTATACTCACTGAATTGTATGCAAGATGGTGTTTTATAAATGTTATTCGGTTTTGTAAAATAGATAAATTTATTTCGTTCATTAGTGGAAAATGTTTGAAAATGCCTTCCATATTCATAAAAATTCACTATACAGATGAATGGATTGAGGGATTGTGACGTAATGGATTACATAATGCATCTTTAAATTGATATGATTTTGATGGATAAAAAAATAGTGAGTTGTAGTGGTGACCAAAGAAACAGTAGTGAAACAATCATAATAGTGATGATGATAATAGTTGAGGGGGGTATGAGAAAACGGAAGTAATCGGATGTTTCAATTAATAACACTATTGACCAGTCTTAAAGTGGCAGGGGTAGTTGTAATAACCACAAATTAGAAATAAAAATCTGACTAAAGTGAATAATGAAAGTGGTATCGCGATTACATGAAGATGATTTCAAACAGATAAACCGAGAGATAATAGAAGGGAATGAAGTCTATCAGTGAATCTGTCATCATGGCAGTGCCAGGTGGGGTGTACACGAATAACCACTGCTTCTGCATAATGTAGTAGTTTGTTGTTATTCTACCGATTCATTGCTCTAAAAGTAATGCCAATTTTTACTGAATGACTGTGTTCACTATATGTTTTCTCAAGCCGTTGCCACGTAGTTGGGAGCTATTCATTATCAAATTCTTTGGTTTATGTTCTAAGATTCTTTTGGATACTCCCTGGACAGGAAGAAGAGCAGAAGAAAAAGCTGACCTAGTGCTAGCCCTTAGTCGATGTCTATTCTGTGCGCTAAGATCGTTATGTCGTACATAGTAGAAACATAACGAATATGCAAATCCCAATTTAAACCTGTACTAATTCCCTGTAGGTTCTCTCCTTTATCACTCGTTTTTGTTATTTTGAATACCTAAATGCTGGGTAAATAATAATTGATTATATTTTATCTATGTGTTTATGCTTCTGTTAGTTTACCTCATGAATTTTATGAAGTTATTATTCATTTATTTATTTGAACACATAAAAATTGGTACAAAGCGGCACCGAATACATATGCGCCACATAATTCACTTGATTTGTGTGTGGGCTATGATGCTGCCCGGTTGCCCAGCTGATTAAAAGGCAAATGTTTTTTTTGTAAAGATCACCAATTTTGTGCAGGGCAGTTTTGTCCTTGGAGAACAGTAGAAATGACTTACCTGTTATTGTGATATTGCTAATGATAACAAATCTCATCAATTGGTTTTCGAATCATACTAAAGTTATCTGTCGCTACTCCCTTTTACGATATGCTGTTTTTACACTTTTACCTATTTATCTGTCGATTGATTTGAGTTTCACAAGAAGGATTATTTTTCACTTATGAATTCTTGTTTAATTTAGGTCTAATCTATGTCTGTGGTGGTTTCGATGGTCAGTCGCGTCTTCGGTCCTTTGAAGTTTATCATCCAAAAATTGACGAGTGGAGAATTTTGGAAGAAATGACTACAGCAAGAGAAGGCGCAGGTCTTGTTGTTGTAGATGATACACTTTACTGTTTAGGAGGTTATGATGGATTCCACCTACTGAACAGCATGGAAGCGTAAGTTGAAATGTAGTCGAAAATAATTTTAATAAGGCTTATCTGTTGTTTCTCAGTTTCTAGTCTTAGTTGCCTGATATCTAAAAAAAAGTTTATTCAGGACTATAAAAAGCTAATTATTAAGTTTGCATTTGAAAAAAATGAACTAGACCTGTTTCTTAATCTTGTTCTTTCAAATGTCTGAAGCCAGAATGTCAATGCATTCATGCCTCGTTGCATTACGGTTTCAGAATCCAACCGTAATGGTATAAATAACTTTTTTTTTCAAACTGATTGAATTTCAAATATAAGCATAATTTTTTGTATTTCAGTGGAATAAATTGTGTTGTCCTACCATGTTATTCCAATTACGCCAGCACCGTTATTGTACATACTCACTTAGGCCTGTTACACCTCATGGAGCATAGGCCGCTGACCAGCACTTTCCATCCTATGCTGTCCTGGACAATACTTTCCAGCTGTTTTCAATTGCTGTACATTCTTCTTATGTCTGCCTCAAATTACCGACGCAATGTGTTCTTTGGTCTTCCTGTTTTTCGTTTTCTTTTAGAATTCCAAGTTAAGGCTTGCCTCGCGATGCAGTTTAATGATTTCTGCAATGTACATCCTATCTACCTCCAACATCTTTTCCTAATTTCCTCTTCAGCTGGAAGCCGGTTTGTTCTCTGCCATAGTAGGTTGTTACTGATAGTGTCCGGCCAACAGATCTGAAGTATCTTACATAAGCAATTATTTATAAATACTTCTACTGTTTTGATGATGGTTATGTTAGTCCTCGAAGTTTCAACTCCGCGCAGTAAAACTGTCTTGACGTTCGTACTGAAGACACTCACTTTGACATTGGTTGACAGATGTTTTGAGTTCCATATGTTCTTCAATTGGAGGAATGCGGCCTTTGCTTTCCCAATCCTTGCCTTTACGTCTGCATCCGATCCTCTTGTTAACCGATGATGCTTCCTAGGTCCGTGAACGATTCCACGTCTTCCAGAGCTTCTCCATCAGGTGTGATTGGGTTGTTGTTCTCTGTGTTGTATTTGAGGATCTTGCTTTTTCCTGTGTATGTTGAGGCCTACTAATGCAGAGGCTGCGGCTAAACTGGTTGTCTTCATCTGCATTTGCTGGTGTATATGAGGTAGAAGAGCTAGATCATCTGTGAAGTCCGAATCTTCTAATTGATTCCGAGCTGTCCATTGTATTCCGTGCTTTCCCTCAGATGTTGAGGTCATCATAATCCAGTCGACCACCAGAAGAAAGAGAAAGGGTGAGATTAAGCAACCTTGTGTGACTCCAGTTCTTACTTGGAAAACATCTTTCAGCTGTCCTTTATGTACGAATTTGCACTGTAGTTTTATTTTATTTAAACACATAAATATTGGTACAAGAGGGCACCAAATATATATGCGCCACACATTGCACTGTAGTCCGTCGTATGAATTCTGGATGATGTTGACGATCTTCTCAGGTATACCATAGTGTCGAATAAGTTCTCACATTTGCTCAGATCTCCTTTCTTTGGTGTTTTGATGTAGTGTTTTTCTTTCCAGTCTGTTGGCACTTGTTCTTCCTCCCAAATCTTCCTGAATAGCACGTGAAGTATACGTGCAGTTACTTCTGTGTCTGATTTTAGAGTCTTAGCTGGTATATTGTCAGGTCCTGCTGCTTTCCCGCTCTTGATTTGTCTGATGGCCATCCTGATTTCTTCTGTCGTTTGTGGAGTGAGATCTACAGGAAGGTCTGTAGGTGTAGGGAGTAATTTCTTACAAGTTTAATTCTGAGCTATTCTTTAGACCGTCGAATACAGAGTCTTGGTTTGGCCAAAGTCGGAAAAAGCACGCTATTTGGCTAGATAAACTTTATCTGTTTCTAATACATAAATTAACACCGTTAGTGTACAAACAAACTGTACGGTCTATTAATACAGGGAAAAAACAGACAAATAACTTACCGAACAGTAGCCAGAGAATAGGAAAAATGAGTCAACAAGCAAATTTTGTTTTACAATGAACATCAAACTGTGATTGGTTAATAAAGAGATACAGTAGTACAAGCTCAAAGGGAGTTAATGTGGTGGTGGGCGTTTCCCTTTATTATTGGTGAGTTCGTCTATCGATCACATTTTACAGTAGGTGCTGCTTCGATGTCCAGTGGTTTTAATGAAGCTGATCTATTCAAGAACTCCTCGAAGTATCCTACCCATCTGTTCCTCTGTTCTTGAATCTCGGTGATTGTCTTGCCTTCTTTTTCCTTGATCAGTCTCTCTGGTTTACTATATTTCCCTTCTAGTTTCTTTGTTGTGCCATATAACTGTCTCATATTTTCTTCGCTTCAGGCTTTGTCCGTTGTCGTTTCTGGCTCTTCTACATATTTCTGCTTGTCAGCTCTAATGCTCCTCTTCACTTGCTTCTTTGCTTCTGTGTATTCAGCTTGTGCCTTGACTTTCTCTACTCGTGTTTGGCTGTTGTCAATCGCTGTCTTCTTGTTCTTCCTTTATTGAATCTTGTCCAGAGTTTCTATAGAGATCCATTCCTTGTGATGATGCTTGTTGCGACCCAGCACCTCCTGGCATGTTGAAGTCAGTACTTCTTTGATTCCTTTTCAATTATCCTCCATCGTAGTTTCTTCTTCGAGTAGATCTTGTAATGCTCGGAATCTTCTGTTGAGAGTTATCTTGAATTGGTTGAGTTTATTAGTGTATCACAGGAATTCTGTATTGAACCTTTGTACTGATGTTTCCCCAGATGTCCAGTGTTTCTTTAGCTTCAGTTTCATCATGGCCACAAGCAGCTGACGATCTGAAGCTATGTCAGCTCCCCTCCTTCCTGATTCTCATATCTCCCATTATCCTTCTGAATTTTTTATTGTTACAAATATGATCTATCTGGTTCTCCGTGGTGTGATCCGGTGAGATCCATGTAGCTTTGTGTATGCGATTGTATGGGAATATTGTGCCGCCTATAACCAATTTGTTGAATGCACATAGGTTCGCAAATCTCTCATCATTTTCGTTCCTCTCTCCCAGTCCATGTCGTCCCATGATATCGTCATATCTGGTGTTGTCCATTCTGATCTTGGAGTTTAAGTCTCTGATCAGGATGGTCAGGTCTTTTATTGGACACTTCGCTATAATTGATTGCAGCCTCTCATAGGACTGATCTTTATTGTCGTCATTGCTGTCATTGTTGGGTGCATAACACTAGATAGCATTTATTATGATTGCCTTCTTTTTTGTTTTGAAGGATGCCTTGATGATCCTGTATCCGTGAGATTCCCATCCTATAAGTGTATTTCGTGCTTCTTTGAACAGCATCAGAGCGACTCCCTGTGTGTGTGGAGCATTTTCTTCGTGATCGGAGTATAGCAACATTTCTCGCTTATCTAGCGCTTGATTTTGCCGTTTGGATTGAATGTTCTCAGTTATTCCGAGGCTTCGTCAAGTTGTATGTTTTCATTTCCTCGCTTATTTGGTGGTCCTTCCCGTCAGCCACATTTTCCTGACTTTTCATGTATCTATAAAACTTTAGACTCTGCTTACTGCAAGGTATATAGTACTCGCGACTTCCGTAGAATGTCGGCTTTTTTCATGACGTGTCATAATTCTTCTGTCAGCCCACAGGGCTGACGTTAAAATGTTTAATCTTGTTAGCTGTTTTTTTAGCAAGTTTGTTTTCTACTGGATGGGGTTGCTTACCTTTGCCCAACCCTCCTTTAACCGGGCTTGGGACCGGCAGTAACTCTAGAAGAGCTACAGATTGAGTTATTACTGTACCAGGAAGGTGATATTTTCGGAAATTGGTTTACGTGTTTGTAAAATAATAACTGTTTTCAAAATGGAACGGAATTTGTCATGGAATCAAATATGTAGAGAACCGCGTAGTATTTCATACAATTATATTTGTGTTGAAAGAGACACTGTCCTATAAAGGTTGTCGAGCTTTAGCAAGCAACACAGTTATGTAAATCAAAAAATAGTTTTCCATTACATACTAAAGGAATTAAAACTTATTTCTCATTTGAAATAACCTAACATACATCTTTGTTATAATACCACTGTTGGTACGAAAATCTCTTACATGAGTTGACTACTAAATAGTGTGTCTGATTCAGAATCGTTTAATGTCAATCTACTGCAGTGCTGTCCTACCTATATTGATTAAAACACTGTACACCACCGTTTTTATTTTCGGAGTAATACCGGCCGTATTTCTTAACAGATTCGGCCGGTGTAATCGGATTGTTGTTAACTTAAGATAATGTGTAACTAGTTCTCGACAAAAACTCAATCAAAACCTTATGTATATGACGAAAAACTATAAGTGTGCTAAATATTAGCACTAACTGACCCAAGCGTATAACGATATCACTATTTATTAACCAATGATAAAGGTAACTTAGAGTATGAATAGTTATAAGTCGAGGCCCGAATCCCGACTCAATAAATATATAATATGTAAGCCACTGACCAAATAGGATGAAATTATTGGTTATGTACAAAAGATACCACCCGAATAACATAACTTTCAATCGTCAAATGACAATGTTTAAGTACGTGTAAAACAATAGCCATTACAATCTATGAAACTGGGATTAATCATCATTAGCCTTGATTTCATGTTTACTCTCTGAACTACAGTTTCATTAATCGGTATTTCCATGTGTGCATTATTCTATGTCCACTTATTTTATTTGGATGTTTTGCAATATAATTCCTCCACTTGATCATTTTAATTTATTCCAGTATGTCTTTTTCCGAATAGTCTTCATTATTGTCTATTTGTTCAGTCCATACTTCGTAGCTGATGAGTACCTGAAGATATGTTTTTAGTTCTTCTGAGATATACAATAAATATAAGACGTTCTATATCCGTGAAGTTTAGTTAAACAACCTTACGTAAATGGACATGGAACCTTTTGGTTATTCAACAATGACGGTTATAAATCAGTGTGAGGAATTAGAATTATGATTTACAGTTGATGGTTGAGGTTAGGAATTAGATTTAAGGTTTTCATCACGAACTGACATAAGCTATAATGACAAGACGCTATTTAGCTAAATGGATGAGTGAATTTCGCGCCAAAATCCGAGACCTTTTATCTTATACATCATTGGTTCGTCCATAAATTATAGTCTCACCGAAAAGATATATATTAAGAACGAAATAAATGTACCATAATATACTATCCGAATAATAACGAAACAAGAGATTTCTTTCGTTAAAAATTGTATGCTGCTATTTATAAAGAATAAAATTGAAGATAGGAATATGTTTAAAACCAATGTCCCAGTGTTTAAACGTGGAGTTCTGATGTGTGGGCGAGAATGATAATGACTGGTTGTCTGCTTAGTCAGACATGTAGATAGTCTGACAGGTGTCAGATGAATTATATATTCCCCTATCCTTATTATTATTATTCAGTCAGTCAGTCAGCTACAACATAGGACCAGGCACATATATGCAACTGTCCAAGTTGCCATACCTCATTAACACAACAAGATGAACACCGGATTCATGAATGTAGTTAATTCAGAGGTGGTAATATATAAAAGAAAGATTGCATATAAGGATATAGTACAGGAAGAAAGAATTAGTTCGTAGAAAGAAAGATATGAAGCGATTTTAATCTCTTAGTTTAAGGGAAGACAGAGAGTGTGTACACCGACGCCATTGTGATCGATTCTGAGCCATGTCACCAAGAGTCTCCAACCATTGATTGATTGTTCATTGTTGTTGGATTGTGTCGAGTTTTTTGGTGTGGAAATATATTTACGTTGTGGTCAGGCTAATCACGTGTTCTTGATCTGAGTTGTGTTGAAGTCCTGTAGAATAGACACTGGGAGGGAATCTAGTGTAGATATTTGTCTGAGGTAAATTAATATCCCATACATGTAAAAGTGGAAACCCAACCGTTATAACATTAGACGAAGTAAAGCCGAGCGTTATAACATGTTCTTTAAGCATTAACGCTCCACTCCATATTTGGTATATCGTTAGTCAGGAATAAAGATAAAAGTCACCAAACAACCAAGAGATTGCTTTTCTATCTGTCATGTCATGATTATTAATATTACTACCAAACTGATCGAATACCACTAATTCTTAACATTAATACTGCACAAACATTTCTATACCTGTTCATGATTCGTTTATTGATCTGTCATCTATATGTTTTTCTGTTTCCCTTGTTTATTAAAATCTACTCCTGAGATAACTGATTTGTGAATTTAAAAAATATTAATAGACACAAATGACTGTTAATATCTTTACTTTTTCATAATTTCATGAAAGGCTTGTGTCAAATGAACCCTTTAAAAGTGTCAATCTTGCGAACTTCGCATGTCTATCGTTTGTGCATCATGGATTTATTATCGGTACTTTTTATTTTAATTAGCTTTGATCTTCATTGTGGTACGTGGTCTGTGTGCAAACCAATGTACATGCGTCGGTCGGGAGCTGGTTGTGCTTTGTTGGGGGATACTATTTATGTATGCGGTGGTTATGGTGGCGCTGAAGGCCGCGGTCCTTCACATTTGGATACTGTAGAAGCTTATAATACATGGTTGGCTCAGTGGACTTTGGTTACAAGTATGAATGTCCCTCGTTGTTACGTTGGTGCTTGCCCATTGGCTGGCAAGATTTATGTTGCTGCTGGGTGAGCAACCACTTTTTAGTACTGTTTTGGTATATTCTAGTAGAGTTTTTTTATATTTTTTTGAGTGAAATCATGAGTCAATTGAAACTAGACCACCATTGAAAACCTGGAAGCACTGAACGGCCGTTTCGTCCTAGCACGGGACTCCTCAGCAGTGTGCATCCACGATCCCGCCCCGTGAGATTCGAACCCAGGACCTATCGATCTCGCGCCACGCGCTTAACCAACTAGACCACTGAGCTAGTAGGCCCCCAAATGCCCTGGTACGACCGAGAGTGGGGAGGATCCGCTCTCCCTCTCGAAATGCTCTCACATGGACACGCGTATATAGCCAATGCCAGGGAAGTTCTACTCACTGCCTTCCCGTGGTGGAAGTTTTGTTTACGAAAATGAGAGAACGAAAAGCGAATGTCCGGCGCTTTAACCGGATTCCAAACCGATGGTGCACATAGGCACCAGTATCCTGCGGGAACAAATGGAGTATGAACCAACTGTTGGTCACCGGCTTCCATGGAACTGCATCTCCTTACGATGCCCCACTGCCTTGTGGATCAGGTCGAAGGCTCGGGGAGTGGCCCCCTAAGAAAACCACCTGCTTCGGTCTGGGCACCCGGGCAGTATCACAGCCCTCACACATGTCGAATGAGATTTGTGTGGCGCATATGTATTTGGTGCCTCCTTGTACCAATATCTATGTGTTAAAATAAATAAATAATATTCTAGTAGGCTTTTCATACTTGATAAACTTACTGATATTATGGGTATAATAATTAAATTACTTTTCCAGCTGTGTGATTATGAATTCAGGTCTACTTCACTTTAATTTTACTGTAGCGATTGATTGCTTATGTAGTCTTCCGAGAATATATATGATAAAAAACTAATTGAAAAGAAATTTCTCCTCTCAATTCGTTCCTTCTTTATTTACCAAATGTCAAAATGGAGATTTTCAGCATATTATCACTATAATCCCGAGATTTCTTATGAAACGTGTGATCTTAATCGAAAGCCATTTGTTGCTCATTGTATTAAATGTTGGTTCTATTTTTGACTTCAAACTCTTTATGTATGTTCACCAAGTGATTAGTAAACAATACTATAATACTTTTTCCATAATTTTGGCACGACTTTTAAAAATAATGAACTGATTAGGTTTTTCGAGGAAAAGAATTGGCAACTTGTTTGTTTAGTATGTCAAATTTTGATGTTTCATAGTAGCGGCTGCCTAGTGAGGTTACAGCAGATCACCTTTCAACCAACATGTGAAAGGTTTGAACTCCAAATTACTGATTCAGTATGGATGCTATGATAGTGTCATTACACCCTCCCAAAACACCCACACACAAACAACATGGGTTAAAGCTAAGTAAATAAATCCGTACTCAGTAGTATCAATCCCGTTGTACAAATAGCTCAAATAAAGGAATATTAGCAGAAGAAAGGTTAGTATGTTTGAAATATTTCTGAATGGATTCTTTTATCCTGCTACACGGTATTATGTAAGCAATCAGGTTACTAATGAGCATAGGTCAACTAGAGACCATTAACCTCAAAAGTGATGCAAGTTAAAGAGTTCTGTTAGGTTTCTGTGTCATTTACATATTTATTTATTTATTTGAACACATAAATATTGGTACAAAGGGGCGCCGAATACATATACAGTACATAAATCATTCGATTTGTTTGAAGGCTGGGATACTGTCTGGGTGCCCAAACTGAAACAAGTGATTTTCCTAGGGCACCACACCCAGAGCCTTCTATCTAAAGGTCTGATCCACAAGGCAGTGGAGCAAAGTTAGGAGATGCACTCCCATAGTAGCCGGCGACCACCAATAGGTTTATACGCCTTTTGTTCCCTCAGGATACTGGAGCCTATGTGCACCATTGGTTTGGAATCAGGGTTTTCCAACTCCTCTAGGTGAAATCTTTGAGTTCATCAACCCGGTTGAAGCGCCGAACATCGTCCTCTCCATTTCTTAAACAACACCTCTCCGCGAGAAGGCAGTGAGTAGGACTTCCCTGATAGTGATTGTATATGCGTGGCCATGTAAGAGCATTTTGGGAGAGAGTGCTGACCCTCCCCACTCTCTGCCGCGCCAGGGCATTTGGGGGAGTCATTTAAATTACGATAAATTCGATGTTCTATTTGTTTTTCACTTCAATTGTAAACCTCAATACTTGGTAACAGTTATTTAAAGTCTGTAGAATATGATTTAGATGACAGTGATTATCAAAAATAATGTGGGCTCTATTCAACAGTTCAAATAGATAATCAGGCATATCTAAAAAGTGGTCATAATTAATCCATCAGAAGCTTCATAATCAAACGTCTTGTGAACAGTGATTATCAAAAATAATGTGGGCTCTATTCAACAGTTCAAATAGATAATCAGGCATATCTAAAAAGTGGTCATAATTAATCCATCAGAAGCTTCATAATCAAACGTCTTGTGAACAGTGATTATCAAAAATAATGTGGGCTCTATTCAACAGTTCAAATAGATAATCAGGCATATCTAAAAAGTGGTCATAATTAATCCATCAGAAGCTTCATAATCAAACGTCTTGTGAACAGACTCAACGTCTTAAGACGTCTACAAAGTAAATAGAATCCTGTCAATGACATTGACCTTCCACATTCTTAGCGCTGTTAAAAACTTCGTCATACATCTAGAGAAACTAAAACTGTATACAAAAGAAAGTTATTGTACCTCTTATTCTATCAAGGTCTTAACCTCTAGTTTTCCAAACCCATTGCCCTCCTCTCCTCTGTTGAGTTCTCCCCTGACTTATTTCTGATTACAATGTTATTTCAATCCTAACATTTGTTCTTATCATTTTACAACGATCCTTCTACACAATTACTAATCTATATTTTGATTAATATTCAAGATCTTAACCAATATATTTTCAATTTTTTTAGTAACAATAACACTGTGCTTTTATATATTTTACCTCTATTGTGTTCAGTAAATTACTACTGTTATTATTGTTGTTAACAAACGTATTGTTAATCATCATTTTAGAAAAAAAAATATTTATTTACGATGATACAGCTTTGAGAATGGATTAGCCGAATAGAAGACTATTCTCTGAATTCATTTTTGTTTTTTTACGTTTCAATGGATGCTTCCCATTTTATTCGTTTTTTAAATAATGACTTTGCATTCTTTAGCGAAGAGCATATCATATTTTCAATAAAATGCTTCTTATTATCCTTATCCATTTTGATCTTATAGATATAATGGTAATAGTCTACTGGATACTGTAGAGTCGTACGATCCAATCGAAAATACGTGGTGGCTACACGAAGAAAGTAGAATGAATCATGAGCGATGTGACACTGGTATGTGTGTTGTACGATTCCCAACATGTTCTATCAGTCAAGATACTCTTACGCCAATTCTAACATCAAGAAACGTAATGAACTCCACTAATATTCATTCATCTCCATCAGCTGTTTCATCTGCTTCGGTTAATTTTCATTCAGCAATCAATCAGTCATCCAATTGGCAGCTAAACGACTTTAACACCAATCGAACTAATAATGTACGCATAAACACACAGATTTCTGTTGGTCACACTAATCCATCATCATTTCAGGGTAGTCCATCATCATCCACTCGAAATATTCTGTCTTCGTCAGTCAGTGAACCCTTTCGTACTGGTTCACAATTTGGTTGTTCATCTGCAAGTATGAATGTATGTAATGTTAATTCTCAATCTCCTGGGAATTCTCACATGTCTTCCATTCATCGTAGATCTAATCGTCAAGTTCGTAGTCATTCTTCACGACAGAATAGTTTGTCAAATACTGCTTCTGTTAATGGAAGAGAATTAAGAAACTCTAGACCACCAAGGCATTTACTTTCGTTGACTGCATCCAGTTTATATCCTGGTAATATAAATGTTTGGAATCCCAAAAGTATGCGTTTACCATATGTTGCACAAGGAATGCACAACCCCAGAAATAATAGATCACTTCTTCCATCCTTGTTATGCAACCCACATAATATTTTACGCTGTGACACTACACCCATATCTCACTTAACTCAACAGGCCGAGAATCCATTATTAAATCATAATGAAACTCTTAGCCATACTTTAGATAATATACCTTCTTCCTCTGAGGAATCTTATATCATCCAAAATAATGAATCTACTGTGAATTCTGCATTCAGTGTGATGCAACAAACGGACCAACTACTAGACAACTGTGGAAACGTTGACATAAACGAGTTAGCCTCTAATCTCAATGCTTCTCATTTTGATGCATCAACTGTTACTGGGTCTCACTTACCAGCATCTCAGAGAAGCAGTTGCAGTAGTCCTACTTTGGTATCTGATATACATCATTCTGCCCCTGAATATGGCTCTTCTGCATCATGTAAGCATGATTTGTTTAGATCCGTTGATGCAATTAACCGTCTTGATTCAGATAACGTTTTCTGGTCAATATCCAATATATCGACATTTTCCGTCATAGAAAACCCTACTGCTAGTACTTTTCCAAAGGCCACCACTTTTAATGAGGACTCATCTAATAACGTAGTTATTGGGACGCAAGCTGATAATATTTCTGGGAATGTTAATTTAGATAATATTCCTAGTAGAAACTATGTTAGTTTGGTGAGCGATTCACCTGATGAACAAGATCATACTAATGCGTTTGGTGATGTTAGTCGAGAGCATGGTGATTTGGTCAAGTGTACTGATCGTTCAAGTTACAAAACGCGCACTTTTATGAACACTTTGATAAATAAACCAAGAGAACTTCAATCAAATCCATGTGTTTTATCTTCAAACGATTCTTCTGAACTACCTTGTGAACAACCATGTGATATCACTTTAACATCCAGTTATTCATGTAATTCTTCAGTCTCCATACCAATTGCTAAAGTTAAGCCATGTTCTTCAACAGTCGTGGAAAATTCATGTACAACAACTTTAAATACACTACCTCCTTCCATACGAAACACATCTTCCACTCAACAAGTAAATGACCCATCAATCTGCCGTAACAAGCCAACATTTGACCAACTATGTCAGCGATATAAACCTGTAATGCCCCATTCGTTTAAAACTGATCCAATATGGCCCTTTAGATATAATACTGAATCATGTCAGACTCATGGTGCTCAAGAAGATAGAATAATTACTTCGGCGAATGATCAGAAGGCCTCATCTTCATTATGTGAAGTTAATGACCAGGTAAGACCTTTACCATTTTCCATTCATGATATGAAATATCACTCGTTTAGTACTAAATTATGTCGTCCAGATTGTTACTACTACAAAGGCGTTTTATTGTTAGATTAGATAATATAGTATTAGTGTGATTCACCTTTTGTGTCAGTCAGCCATAAATAACACAGAACATGACGCATATGTGATGAGTTCAAGTTGCGACATTAGTACAGCGAGTCTTCTATATATTGCCACGATTGACTTAACTACTCCTATGAATATCCGGTCTTCATTTTGCTATGCTAATGCGGTGTGGCAACTTGGACCGATTTATATATGTGCCTGGTCCTACGTTGTAGCTGGTTGACTGAGTACAGCGAGATTATCAATGATAATATTTGCCTAGTACTCTGTCCAACCACAGCTTTGCTCTCTAGATAGTCACAACATTTTGTAGCTAAGTACGTTAATGGTTTAGTCGTTGTTTGTCGAGTTGAAGATAATGATTGTTCTGTATCTTTAACAAATAAGGTTACTAATCAGCATCCGTGTAAATGGCAAGAAAATCAGATCTCAGACTAAATAATTTCGTTGTACTTTCATTAAATATGCTTTTTTTGCTTTTATTGTTTGCTTTCAAGAGAGTAATCACCATAGGGGAAACCTCTTTTGTTTTTGGTGTCAGCGAATCATCTCACGCGTATTCTGAATCAGATGATCTGCTAATCAGAAACCAATCAGATAATCCTAATCAGACTGGTGTTTCTGTGAAGCCAGATGTTACGTGCACTACATCAGTCGTTGAGTCCATACACTCAACAGGTGCTCCTGGATGTAGTTCGTCAAATTCTGATGATGCACTTGTAAACCAACCGCATAGTCTGATAGATAATCCATCTAATTGTGAGCCTGATATAACATTATGTACAGTGGTTTGCAATCCAGGTAACGTGGATGACAGTCCAGAACCACAACCGGATACAAGATCAGATGGTGAAGGGGAAGAAGGAGACGACTTAGATGTTGTCCTGAGGAATCCTGCAGTTGGTCAGGTTGACGATGATTTATGATCTCATATCGTATTTTTTTGTGAATTATATTCCTTTTTATTAATTTACTATTGCCCTACATGGTGTTTATTGTATCTATCATTCTTTATTTGCTTAGTTATTGTGTTAGTGTGACCGAATAATTCTGCAAACGTTTTCAGCCGTCACTTACATATGATCATTTGTCTGTTTTGTTCCACTTTCCCTTTTGATTGATTTTGATGCATCTTTGGTACGGTTTGTTCCTAAACTTTGTCTCCTCACATTTGTATATTTTTAGTCATAACAAGGTGATACTTGATTTTCTTTAAAGCTTCCTTGTGTTTATATCGTTAGAACTACGAGCGATCGTGTAGTCTCAGTCTTAAGTGTTGTGTACTGATTTGTTTGTACGTACCTGTGGTCACGCAATCTCGTCTGTGTTCAAGATATAACACTGATTGAGTGTTAGTTCTACCAAAATATCTACACAAAGAAACTAGTGATTTTTACAATAATCAACACTTTAAGTCATTGACGTTATCCCGTAGAACATAACTATCAGTCTCCCACTACATAGTGTAGTGATTACAGTCCGAAGTTGTCATTATGATAAAACTCCAAAATAAATATCTGCTTCAATATTACTCTTGTTACTGCTTACTGAGCTAGCTGGTTAACCACTAAATATGAGTATTACGTACGTACGAGATGACTAGAGCCAACTCAAGAGATTTATGTAGCTATAGCATCATGTCTTACCATGAATTCAAGCGTTAAGAAGAGATGCGACATACCTATTGATAGTTTGAGTACTTCTCACGTATACGAATCACAGCGTTTTTCAGATAAATAAAGCATTTCGAAAAACCGTGCGAAGATACCTTATGCATTTATAGTCATACTACAATGGTTGGCAGTTTTTCGCTTCCTAATGTTAACACGGGTTTCTCAGCAATAATGGTAAGTTCTTGACGTCAGATGTGCCTTTTATAGACATGATCAATATGGTACAACATAGATTAGAAGGAAGCACTTTATCACAGTAGTATAATCGATAACGTTGTAATCGTAAGAAAGCAAATATAACGTCTAGGTGTGGAGCGATACTGCTTATCAAGAAGATCTTTGTAACAAAGTGTCGAACACGGCCTTAAGTACTGGTGTGACACTGTTTAATATGTGTACATGACTTATAGTACAAGATTAAGATAGAAGGTCCATGACAAATGTTACATCTTTGTGGTACTGAAAGAAGGACAAGTAACAGAACCAACATTTGTAAATTGCCGGTTGTGTAGCTGTTTGCTATAGAACCAACTAACGTGTCAATTTGACGAAACAGTCTAACTGCATTCTGTTGGCTGACTGTTATTCAAAAATCTTAAGACAAATTATGTATTAGAGAGTAGTGAGCATTGAGGTGTGAAAATATACCTCAGAGCTAAATTAGTGAAAGTTAAAGCGTGTTGACTTTAAAACGTCGATACAAGGAACAAGTGAAATATAATTTTTGTTGTATCCCAGTGAGTGGGAAAACCATGTTTCTGACGTTTCGTCACTTAATGTAAGCCCCTTCCTCAGAGCAAATAATGTCTTTCTACTCGTCAAGATGTAACAGAAAATATATTCATTATTAACGTTTTATCTGATGCTCAATTCATTTAAAACCAGGGACTCAGTCAGCTACAACGTAGGACAAGGAACATATATACATCGGTCCAAGTTGCCACACCTCATTAGCACAACAGGATGAACACCGAATTCATAGAAGTAGTTACTTGAATGATAGTAATATGTAAAAGAAGTATTGCATATAAGGGTATAGTATAGAAGAAAGAATTAGTTCGTAGAAGAAAAGGTATAAATTAATTTAATCTCACAGTTTAAGGGAAGACAGATTGTGTATATACCTACACCATTGTGATCGATTCTGATTTATTTCACCCAGCGTCTTCAACCATTATAATAGCCGCGCGGACCCCAAGTAGTCTGTATCTACCAACATGACTCAGACTAGGAGTTAGTGAATTCAAGGACTGACGCTATGTTTTGGTTTGGGCGCCCCTAACTTTTTTCCAACCATCCCCAAAACTAGTCGGCATTGTGCGTCGTGGTAATCGTTGTTCAGGCATACGTAACATGTGTCGCAACCATCTCAGTCGATAAAGATTCACAACTTCATCAACTGATTTACCATCATTCCCTAATACCCTGCGTCTAACCTCACTATTAATTACCCAGTGATCCCAGCAGATGCGAGTAATATTTCTAAGACATCAGTGATCAAACACTAGTAGCTTACAAGTATCTTCTACTCTTAATGGCCACGTTTCGCAGCCGTAAAATAAAATAAAACGAACTGCTGCGCAGTAAACTCGTCCCTTAATTGATAGCCGGATATCTCACCTTCGCCATAGGTGGCATAAGTTGTCAAACGCCAACTGAGCTTTTCGAATCCATGATGAGATTTCGTCCGATATCAACCCATTAGGGCTGATCAGAATTCCAAGATAAGTGAAGTTGTCGACGTGTTCAACTACTTCACTCCCTATCCTTAGTTCAGGTGTTGACGCAGACCAGTCCTGTAGCAACAATTTGCATTTAGAAGGAGAGAAACGCATCCTAAACATTCTGGCATTGTTGCTCGGTGCTACCAAAGGAATGCATTTTGGTGGAATTTTGTTCTCTGAGCTGGATGGTTTGGTCATGGAGCCTTCATCGTTCTTCTGAACGACATCATCAGCACAAACTTCAGATAGAAGTGAAGTGTTTGAATTTCTCCATATTTGTTTCACAGCTTGTTCTGTGCACGTCGATGTTGATTGGTTCTTGTTGACCTTAAATTTATCATTGTTCACTTCTTCGTTTTGGTTGTGTCTCCCATTGGTCGATAAGTGAACCTCCCAGTAGAAGATCAATGCCCAAAAATTCAGTCGACGAGAACGTTATTTCCAGCAGTAGGCTTATGATGGAATTAAACAAAAATGGAGATATTTAACGGCCTTTTCGGATACCACTTGAGGGTGTGAAATCAGATGTCAGTTCGCCATAAGCTCTTACTCGACTGATAGTGTTCGAGTAAAGGGCCTTCACAAGGTTTATGTACTTCTGAGGAACGCCTTTCAATGGCAGACAGTGCCACAGAACCTCGCGGTCTACAGATTGAAATGGTACTTTTAGATTCAAACAAACTATCATTGTCGGATGCCGATACGCAAGTTTGTGTTCTAGAGCCTGACGAATGGTGAATATGTGGTCGAAGAACCCACTATCAGTTCTGAAGCCAGTCTAATTTTCTCGTGTTTGTAGTTCACCAGTCTTGGACGCCCGATAATTATTGAAGCTAGTATTTTAGATACTGTATTAGTTAAACTAATCCCTCTGTGGTTATCACAGGGTGATTTTGACCTCTCCTTATATATTGGGACAATCAGTGATTGCGTCTAGTCAGATAGGAATACGTTCAGATCTCAGCGAAAATATTAGTCAACCTAACCGTTGGAATTGGGGCACCATACTTAAAGACCTCTGGAGCCAATCCATCTGGACCAGTTGCGTTGGGACTATTTATGTTACGTTGGGAATTAGTAGAAAGTCGTGTGCAGGCAAACACAGAAATTATTCACCATGCGGTTGAGGAAATATAGTACCGTTATAAGATTACTTACTTACTTACGCATGTTACTCCCAGAGGGACATAGGCCGCCGACCAGCATTCTCCTACCCATTCTGTCCTGGGTCTTCTTTTCTAGTTCTATCCAATTGTTGTCCATTCTTCTCACATCTGTCTCCACTTCTCGGCGTAATGTGTTCTTTGGTCTTCCTTTCCTCCTTTGGCCTTGACGATTCCGAGTGAATGTTTGCCTCAATGCGTGTCCTATCCACTTCCAGCGCTTCTTCCTAAATTCTTCCTCCGCTGGAATCTGGTTTGTTCTCTCCCACAGTACGTTGTTGCTAATAGTGTCCGGCCAACGGATCTGAAGTATTTCGCGTAGACAACTGTTAATAAACACCTGTATTTTCTGGATGACGGCTTTCGTAGTTCTCCAGGTTTCTGCCCCATATAGTAGAAATGTCTTGACATTTGTATTGAAAATCCTGACTTTGGTGTTGGTTGACAGTTGTTTTTAGTTCCGAATGTTCTTCAGTTGTAAATATACTATTCTTGCTTTGCCGATTCGCGCCTTCACTTCTGCATCAGATCCACCATGTTCATCAATGATGGTGCCCAAATACGTAAAAGTTTTTACATCTTCCAAGTCTTCTCCGTCAATTGTGATTCGATTGGTGTATGTTATATCGTATCGGAGAATCTTGCTTTTCCCTTCCTGTATGTTGAGACTTGATGCTGCTGAGGCTGCTGCTACGTTGGTCGTCTTCTGCAATTGTTGTTGCGTGTGCTATAGAAGAGCCAGATCATCTGCGAAGTCTAGATCGTCCAGCTGCATCCTAGACGTCAACTGTATCTCACGCTTCCCTTCAGACGTTGACGTCTTCATGATCCAGTCGATCACCAGGAGAAGGATAAAGGGTGAGAGTAAGCAACTTTCCTTGATACCGGTCTTTACTTTGGACGAATCTGTGAGTTGTCCTCCATGCACGATTTTGCAGTTTGATCCATCATAAGAATTCGTATGATATTGACTATCTCCTCAGGCACGCCGTAGTGTCGAAGAAGCTTCCATAGTGTTATTCTGTCCACGCTATCAAATACTTTCTCGTGGTCAATGATTTTGGTATGGAGTGGTGAATTCCATTCAATTGATTGTTTCACAATGATCCGTAGTGTTGCGATTTGTTCGGTACACGATTGGTCCTTACGGAATCCTGCCTGTTGATCTCTAAGTTGGACGTCTACAGAGTCTTTCATTGTGTTTAACAACACCCTGTTGAAGACCTTTCCTGGTACTGACAGTAGTGTGATGCCTCTGTAGTTATCACACTTGCTTAGATCTTTATTTGATATCTTGATCAGGTATTGTTCTTCCCAGTCTGTTGGTACTTGTTCTTCATCCCAAATCTTGCCCATGGGAATGTTGAGTATCTTTGCAGTTACTGCTGCATCCGCTTTCAGTGCCTCTGCTGGAATGTTGTCTGGTCCCTCTGTTTCCCCGCTCTTGATTTATCTGGTGGCCATGCTAATCTCTTCAATTGTTGGTGGATCAACATTGATTGGGAGGTCCGTGGTTGCTGCTTAGATGTTGGGTGGGTTCAGTGGTGCTGGTCGACTGAAGAGTTCCTTAAAGTGCTCTACTCACCTGTTTCTCTGTTCTTCAATGTTGGGGATTACGTTGCCTTCCTTGCTTTTCCCTGGTCGTTCTGGTTTACGATAATATCCAGCGAGTTTCTTTGTTGTATCATATAATCGTTTCATGTTTCCTTCTCTTGTAGCCTTTTCTCCCGTCATTGCTATAATAGCACAGTTCAATTCAAACCAGGACCATCTCATACAAACGTACTGTGTTTGGAATTCGGAAACATGCAAACATCAAGTACTAAATAGTCATTAATTCATACAAACTCCACAAGCTGTTTTCTTATTTATACGAAATCCCGACTCCTTACGAAAAGCAGAACGGATTTTGAAGGGGTTATTCATGTTTTAGAAACTTATTATTAGCCCGCGAAAGTTTTTCGGGCAT